GTAGGAGGCAGGAAAAAGGAAGAAAAAATGAAAGGAAAATGGGAGATTTTGGTTTATTTATCTATTTATCATTTTATAGGGAAAATAACCTAAAAAAAGAAAAAAAAAAAAACTGAAAATTTATAAATAGATTTTGAAAAGCGGTAAAATATACATAAAATAATAAACAAAAGGGGAAAAAGAGAAAGATTATAACAATAATGATGATAATGATAATATAACGAATCCTATGATGGTAATAATAATAATGATGATAATGATGGTAATAATAAATGTCATAAGAATGCTAATGATCATAATAATGATAATAAAGGTAATGAAAATAATGATAATGACAATAATAACAGCAATAATAGTAATACTACTACTAATGATAAGGATGATAAAAATAATGATAAAGATAATGATAATAATGATAATAAGATAATGATGATGATGATAGTAATGATAATGATAATGTTAATGATAATGAAACAACATAATCAAGATGATATCATTAATGATAATAATGGCGAAAGCAATAATGATGATGATGATGACCATAATGATAAAAATAATAATGATAGTACTAATAGTTATACTGATAATGATGACAATGATATGAATAATGTTATACATAAATGATACTAATAGTAATAACAACAATGATAATAATGATAATGATAATGATAAAGATAATGATAATAATAATAATGATGATAATGATATAATGATGATGATATAATGATAAAGATAATAATGATAATGATAATGATAAAATGTGATAATAATAATAAATGATATGATAATAATAATAATAATAATATAATAATAATAATAAATAATAATAAATAATAATATAATAATAATAAATAAATAATAATGATATAATAATAATAATAAATATATGATAATAATAACAATGAATAATGATATAATGAAATGATAATGATATTGATAACAGGAATGATGATGATAATAATGATGATAATAACAAGGATGATGAAAACGCGTCTTGATGATAATTATGATAATACTACTAATTATAGTAGTATTGCCACTGCTATTTATAATAATGATAAACTGATAATGAGGATAATAGTATTGTGGATCATAATGATATATTAAGAGTTTGTCGACAGAAGAACCTTAATAATGATAATGATAAAGATGATAGTAATAAGTTTGATAACAATTATAACTACAATTGGAATAATCATAAAAATAATAATGATTATGATAGCAACAATAATGGAAATGATAATAATTATGATTATAATTGCAGTATAATTAACAATAGTGATAGATAACAATGATTTTAATAGTGATGATGATTACTATTTTTTATCGTCATCAACAATCATCATCATCATTAAGAGGAGGCAGGGAAATAACTTTCACCAACATATTTCATCATCTCTTCTCTTTACTTGGTCATTTTCCTAAATATATCGATGCCGTTATTAATGCACCTATATACGTATATTCATTTTGTGTTTATTTTTGCTCGATCTATCAATTTATGCGACTTGCTGGGAGGGAAAAATTCACGATTTTACGTACTTGGCAATTTCCTGTGAACAATCCATCATCAGGAAGCAAGAAATTGAAATTTGATTGCGAAGATCAACCTTAGGGAAGAAGGAGGAGGGAGGGAGGGAGGAGGGAGGATGAAGGAAGGAGGGAGGGAGGGAGGAGGGGGAAGGAGGGAGGGAGGGAGGGGAAGGGAGGAAGGGGAGGGAAGGGAGGGAGGGAAGGGATGAAGGAGGAGGAGGGAGGGAGGGAAGGATGAAGGAAGGAGGAGGGAGGGAGGAGGGAAGGGATGAAGGAAGGAGGGGAGGGAGGGAGGGAAGGGATGAAGGAAGGGGAGGGAGAGGAGGAAAAGAGGGAAGGAGGAGGGAGGAAGAAAAAGAGGGAAGGGATGAAGGGGAGGAGGGATGAAGGGATGAGGGAGGGAGGGAGGGTGGGAGGGAGGAAGTGAAGGAGGGAGGGAGGGATGGAGGAAGGGAGGGAAGAAAGAGGGAAGGAATGAAGTAGGGGGATGGAGGAAGAAAAGAAGGAAGGATGAAGGAGGGAACGAGGGAGAGAGAGAGAGAGAGAGAGAGAGAGAGAGAGAGAGAGAGGAGAGAGAGAGGAGAGAGAGAGAGAGAGAGGGAGAGCCATTGTTCCAAGAGACGAATAAAAATCAACACGGCGTTTCGTCCGACAGAAGAACCTTAATAACCCTTATGGAGCCACGTGGACACCTACTATATACCCGTCTTATCTCCCGAGAGGATGCCTTCAGTACTTGGTAATTGGCTTCTCCATTTCCCTCCCTTCTCTCTCTCTCTCTCTCTCTCTCTCTCTCTCTCTCTCTCTTCTCTCTCTCTCTCTCTCTCTCTCTCTCTCTTCTCTCTCTCTCTCTCTCTCCTCTCTCTCTCTCTCTCTCTCTCTCTCTCTCTCTTCTCGCACGCTTTATTCTCTTTCTTTCTGTCTTTTACTTTTTCTCTCTCCCTCTCTGTATCTCTCTGTCTGTTAC